GATGTGGGGCTCAATCCCAGGACCCTGGGATCATGACCTGAGCCGAAGGCAGATGCTTAACCAACTGAGCCACCCAGCCGCCCCAACACCTGTTGTTTCTTGTGCTGTTGATTTTAGCCATTCTGATAGGTGTGAGGTGAGAGCTCATTGTAGTTTTGATTTACATTTCCTTGATGATGAGTGATGTTGAGCATTTTTCTTGTGTCTGTTGGCCATCTGAATGTCTTCTTTGGAGAAACATCTGCTCATGTTTTCTGCCTATTTTTAAATTGGATTATTTGGTTTTGTTTGGTGTTGAGTTGTGTAAGTTCTTTATATGTTCTGGATATTATTAGCCCTTTATCAGATATGTCATTTACAAATGTCTTTTCCCATTCGTTAGTTTGTCATTGAGTTTTGTTGATTATTTCCTTTGCTGTGCAGAAGCTTTTTATTTTGGTGTAGTCCCACCAGTTTATTTTTGCTTTTGTTCTCTTGCCTCAGGAGACATACCTAGAAAAATGTTGCTACCGCCGATGTCAGAGAAATTACTGCCTGTGTTCTCTTCTAGGATTTTTATGGTTTTGGGTCTCACATTTAGGCCTTAATCCATTTTGAGTTTATTTTTGTGTATGGTGTAAGAAAGTGGTCCAGCTTCATTCTTTTGCATCTAGTTGTCCAGTTTTCCCAGTACCATTTGTTGAAGAGACTGTCCCTTTTCCATGGCATATTCTTGCCTCTTTTGCCAAAGATTAGTTGACCATATAATTGTGGATTTGTTTCTGGGCTTTCTGTTCTCTTCCATTGATCTTCGCGTCTATTTTTATGCCAGTACCAGACCACTTTGATTACTACAGTTTTGTAGTATATCTTCAAATCTGGAAGTGTGATACTTTCTGCTTTGTTTTTCTTTTTCAGAATTGTTCTGGCTATTTGGGATCTCTATGGTTCCGTACCAATTTTAGGCTTCTTTGTTCTAGTCCTGTGAAAAATGCTGTTGGTATTTTGATGGGAATTGCATTAAATCTGCAGATTGCTTTGCATAGTATGGACATTTTAACAATATTTGTTCTCCCAATCCATGAGCATGGAATATTTTTCCATTTGTGACATCTTCAGTTTCTTTCATCAGTGTTTTACAGTTTGCAGAGTGCAGGCCTTTCACCTCCTTGGTTAAGTTTATTCCTAGGTATTTTATTATTTTTGGTGCAATTGTAAATGGGATTTTTTTTTTTAATTTCTCTTTCTGTTGCTTCATTCTTAGTGTATAGAAATGCAGTGGATTTCTGTACATTGATTTTTGTATCCTGCAGCCTTACTGGATTCATTTATCAGTTCTAGTAGCTTTTTGGTGGAGTTTTTAGGGTTTTTATGTATAGTGTCATGTCATCTGCAAATAGTGGAAGTTTTACTTCCTTACTGATTTGGCTGCCTTTTATTCCTTTCTCTTGTCTGATTGCTGTGGCTAGGACTTCAGTACTCTGTTGAATAACAGTGGTGGGAGTGGACGTCTTTGTCTGATCCTCTTCTTAGGTGAAAACTCTCAGTTTTTCCCCATTGAGGATGATGTTAGCTTTGGTTTTTCATATATGGCCTTTATTATGTTGAGGTATGTTCCCTCTTAATAAACTCACTTTGTTGAGGGTTTTTATCATGAATGTATGTTGTACTTTGTCAAATGCTTTTTCTGCCTCTTACTAAGGTGATCATATGGTTTTTATCCTTTCTTTTTTTTGATGTGATATATCCCATTGATTGATTTGCAAATATTGAACCACCTTTGCATCCCAGGGATAAATTCCACTTGATCATGGTGAATGACTTTTTTTTAATGTTGTTGGATTTGGTTTGCTGAGGATTTTTGCATCTACGTTCATCAGAGATATTGACCTGTAGTTCTCTTTTTTTTGTGCCGTCTTTATCTGATTTTGGTATCAGGGCAATGCTGGCTTCATTGAATGAATTTGGAAGCTTTCCTTCCTCTTCTATTTATGTATTTTTATTTTTTAAAGATTTTGTTTATTTGAGAGAGAGAGAACACGAGCGGTGGGGAGGAGGCAGAGGGAGAGGGAGAAGCAGGCCCCTGCTGACAAGGAGCCTAATGTAGGGATTCGATTCCAGGACCCTGGGCCAAAGACAGACACTTAACTGACTGAGCCACCCAGGTGCTCCTCTTCTATTTTTTTTTTTAATAGTTTGAGAAGAATAGGCGTTAACCCTTTTTAAATGTTTAGTAGAATTCACCTGTGAAACCATCTGGTCCTGGACTTTTGTTTATTGGGAGTTTTTTGATGACTGATTCATTTCATTGCTGGTAATTGGTCTGTTCAAATTTTCTGTTTCTTCCTGATTCAGTTTTGGGACATTGTATGTTTCTAGGAATTTATCCATTTCTTCCAGGTTGTCCAATTTGTTGGCATATAATTTTTAAAAATATTCTCTTGTCGGGGCACCTGGGTGGCTCAGTCGTTGAGCGCCTGCCTTCGGCTCAGGTCATGATCCCAGGATGCTGGGATCAAGCCCCGCATTGGGCTCCCTGCTCAGCGGGAAGCCTGCTTCTCTCTCTCCCACTCCCCCTGCTTGTGTTCCCTTTCTCGCTGTGTCTTTCTCTCTGTCAAATAAATAAATAAAATCTTTAAAAAAAAAATATTCTCTTTGAACCTTCATATTTTTTGGTATTGGTTGTTATTTCTCTTCTTTCATTTCTGATTTTGTTTATTTGAGTTCTTCTCTTTATTTTTTATGAGTCTGGCTAAAGGTTTGTCGATTTTGTCCATCATTTCAGAGAACAAGCTCCTGGTCTCATTGATCTGTTCTATTATTTGTTTAGTTTCTATTACGTTTGTTTCTGCTCTAATCTTTATTACTTCCTTTGTTCTGTTGGTTTGGGGTTTTATTTGTTCTTTTTCTTGCTCCCTTAGGTGTGAGGTTAGGTTACTTATTTGAGATTTTTCTTGCTTCTTGAGGTAGGCCTATATTGCTATAAACTAACCCCTTTAGGACCGCTTTTGGTGCATCTCAGAGATTTTGGACCACTGTGTTTTCATTTTCATTTGTTTCCGTATATTTTTTTATTTCCTCTTTGATATCTTGGTTGACTCATTCATTGTTGAGTAGCATGTATTTGTGCTATCCCCAGATTTTTTTCTTGTTGATTCCTAGTTTCATAGTGTTGTCATCAGAAAAGCTGCATGGAATGACTTTGATCTTTTTGACTTTGTCGAGACTTGTTTTGTGGCCCAACATGTGCTCTATTCTAGAGAATGTTCCATGTGCACTTGAAAAGAATGTGTATTCTACTGTTTTAGGATGGAATGTTCTGAATATATCTGTCAGAGCCATCTGGTCCAGTGTGTCATTCAAAGCCGCTGTTTCCTTGTTGATTTTCTGTTTGGACGATCTGTCCATTGATGTAAGTGGGTTAATTACTATCAATTACTTCCTTTATAGTTGCTCTTAACTTGTGTCTTTGGGTGCGCCCATGTTGGGTGATGTAGTGTCCTTTATCTCTTTCTACAGTCTTTGTTTGAAAGTCTATTTTGTCCCATGTAAGTATTGCTACCCCAGCTTTCTTTTCACACTATTTGCATGATGAATGCTTCTCTACCCCTTCACTTTCAGTCTGCATGTCTTTATGTCTCAAATGAGTCTCTTGCAGGCAGCCTATAGATTGGTCTTGTTTTCTTATCCATGCCATCACCCTTTGTCTTTTGATTGGAGTGTTTAGTCCATTTACGTTCAAAGTAATTATTGGTGGGTATGTATGTATTGCCATTTTGTTACTTGTTTTATGGTTGTTTTTGTGGTTTTTCTCCATTCCTCTCTTCTCCCGCTCTCTTCTCTCATGATTAGTTGGTTTTCTTTTTTTTTTTTTTTAAAGATTTTATTTATTTATTTGACAGAGAGAGACACAGCGAGAGAGGGAACACAAGCAGGGTGAGTGGGAGAGGGAGAAGCAGGCTTCCTGCGGAGCAGGGAGCCCGATGGAGGGCTCGATCCCAGGAGCCCAGGATCATGACCTAAGCTGAAGGCAGTCACTTAATGACTGAGCCACCCAGGCGCTCCTCTTTTTTTTTTTTAAGATTTTATTTATTTATTTGACAGAGAGATAGTGAGAGCAGGAACACAAGCAGGGAGAGTGGGAGAGGGAGAAGCAGGCTTCCCGTGGAGCAGGGAGCCCAATTGGGGGCTCGATCCCAGGACCCTGGCATCATGACCTGAGCCGAAGGCAGACGCTTAACGACTGAGCCACCCAGGAGCCCCTAGTTGGCTTTCTTTAATGATGAACTTGGATTCCTCTCTTTATTTTTTGCTTATCTATTACTAGTGTGTGATTTGTGGTTACCACTAGGTTTGTATGTAACATCCTCTGCATATAGCAGTTTGTATTAAGTTGATGGTCACTTAAGTTTGAACCCATTCTTCTATTCCTCTCGTCCCCACATTTTAGGTGTATGGTGTTGTACTTTACATCCTTTTATTTTGTGAGTCAGTTGATTGAGTTTTACCAATATACATATTTTTACCACTTTTGTTACTTCAGCCTGACTTCCTCTTGATTTCATCTGTAAAGACCCTGTTTCCAACTAAGGTCACACACACGGGTGTAGGGCAGGAACTGAGACGTATCCTTAAGGAGGACACAACTCGGGCTGCCACAGAGGGAAAGGATAGTGGAGCAGAGGACAGGACGCGCCCCTGAGCAGGGAAGGGAGGTCTGGGAGCAGGAAGGGTGTCGGGGTGCAGGGGTTGACACGGTTGAAGGGCTGAGGCCCAGGCTACAGCCTTGAATGGGAGGGACCGCCTGTGAGGCTTCTTTCCAAATGGAGCTGCTCTCAGGGCTGAGCCTCTTGGCCATCCCACGCTTACCCTGGGCTGTGTCAAGCCTCCTTATCCACAACTGTGTTTCTTTTTTAACCAGGAAACTACTTTGCTTCGCACTTTTTCATGGGAGGTGAGAAATTTGACACCCCCCACCCTGAAGGTTACCTCTTTGGAGAAAACATGGATCTGAATTTCCTGGGCAATCGCCCAGTCCAGGTGGGTCCAGGTGGGTCTCGCCCAGGCTAGGCATGTGGGTGGCAGTGGTGAGGTGCCTCCCCTCCGCTGTCCACAACCAGCTTCGAGGACAAGCGGGCACTGAGTCCCCCCAGACGGACAGAGCTGCTGGCGGGACGTGTGTGTGTGTGTGTGTGTGTGTGTGTGCGGGGGCATGTCCTGGTGCTGCCCCCTGAGAGCCTGGATGGCTGCACGTTGGTCACTGGAGACAGGACGGCTGTTGCTGAGCCCAGTGCATCAGTGCATCCAGGCTGTGGGACTACCACAAGTTCGCTTTCACTAGTCACCAGAGAAGTACATGCTTATACACTGTTGTCCGTTTATTCAACACTCATTTGGCACCTGCTCTGTGCCTAGGACTTTTCCACGGGTTGGGGGTGGAGGACAGATCCCACCCCATTCACCGCAGGGGGTGCTAACAATGAAGAAGAGAACATTTCACAAATGGAAACTAAAGAGAGAGGGAGAAGGATGAGTGAGGGCCAGTGGGGAGGGGATGCTGAGCAGGGGATTGGGTTTTGTACTTTGAAATGATGGTCCCCAGTGTGGGTGAGGGGCCAGGCAGGAGGCCCTCTCTTTCAGGACACATTGAATTCTGTTTCCTAAGGCTGCTGAGTCCCTGGGGTGTTCCTGGGCCTGACAGGAGGTGGGGTGTCCTCTGGACCAGGAGTCTTTAGGCTGTTTTACAACAGAGCAGCTGGTTGATAGGAAATCTTGATCCTTTAGTGGATGGGAGGCAAGGAGCTAGGGCCTGGTGGGCCATCCTCCGCCACCCATGGGACCACTGGGACTTTTGGGTGGTGCTGAATCTCCCCCAGCCTCCTGAGTCCATGAGAACAAGAAAGCAACCTCACTTCCATCTTTGAAGCCTCAGCTCACATGCAGGGCCTGGCTCTTACAGACCTCCATAAATCTGTTATTTTTTAAACTTTGAAAGCATCGTAGACTCACCTGCAATGGTGAGAAGTGATGCAGAGAGATCCTGTGTGCCCTCTCCTCTGTTTCCCCAGTGACATCATCTAATAAAGCTCCGGTGTGCTATCACAGGCCAGAACTGTCCAGATGACTCCAGTGTCCAGCATGCATGTGTGTGTGTCTGTGTGCTGGTCCCCTCCAAAATGTTTACTGAGCATCGTCCTTTTGTGGAAATCCCATTTTATTCGGGGCAGCAGTGGGCATCAGGTCCCACCTGTGGGCACATGGCCTGAGAACCCCAGCCTTCACCGCCCCCAGGGTCCCTCGGGCCAGGTTATGCTTGCTGAGGGTCCTCGTGGAATTGGAGGACCGTGGTGAGATCCGTGTGGCCAGAATCCTCCAGGGTGGCCTGGGCCCTGCTCCCCTGCTCACTGGCTGCGCTGCCTGCACAAGGGCCAGGGAGTACAGACTTGTGACTGTTGCTTCGATCATCCCTGTGTTCTGCCCCGGCCGCACCTTAGGGAGTCACCGGGCACTGCTTTGGGTTTTTCCCTCCTAGTTTCCTTACGTCACCCCCGCCCCCCATGAGCCAGTGAAGACACTGAGGAGCCTGGTGAACATCCGAAAGGACTCCCTGCGGCTTGTGAGGTAAGGCTCCGCCCCACCCTGCTCTCTGGCAGAGGGGCAGTGGCGAGCGACCCCGGGCTCTGCTAACCTCAGGCGTGGAGCCAGAAGGTCGCGGGCAGGTCTCGAGCCCCAGAGTTGCTCCTGGGGTGTGGGTGCAGAGGGAGAGGAGGCCAGCAGGGCTCTGCTTATGAAACTCTGGTCTTTAAACCAGGGCTTCTCAACCGGCAGCTGTGCCCCCAGGGACCCTGGCCTGTGTCTGTTGTCACAGCTGGGGGATTGGGTGCTGCGGGCCCACGGTGGGCAGAGACCAGGGATGCTGCTCAACACCCTGCAGTGCACAGGACAGCCCCCAGCCAGGAATGATCCAGTGTCCAGCATGAGCAGGCCGAGAAACTGCTTTAAACCTGGATGGCTTGAGGCGTCTGGGGCTGTCTCTAAACCAGGAGGACTCCTCCCTTTCTGTGGGCAGGAGGCGAGGGAAGGACAGCTCTGCAGTGTTGGGCCTTATTATCCACCAGGGAGTGGGTGACATTTCTAGGCAGCCACCTCAGAGGACCCCAGCCGGAGGGTGGGGTGGGATGCGCGTGCCGTGCAGGGTGGGGGCGCTTACAGGCAGGACCCTTGACCTGCTGCCTGTTCCTCTGCCTCCCGGGCAGGTACAAAGATGGTACAGACAGCCCCTCCGAGGACAGTGAGAAGCCCCGTGTCCTCTACAGCCTGGAGTTCACCTTTGATGCCGACGCCCGGGTGGCCATCACCATCTACTGCCAGGCGGTGGAGGAGTTCCTGAATGGGACTGCGGTGTGAGTCTCTGGGCCTGGGGGGGCCTCTGTGGTCCGTGTTGTGTGTTTGAGGTTCTAGAGGTTTTATTTGCAGTAAGGGTCCTGCTGGCCCCAAAAGTTTGAAATCTGCAACTTCAGCAGCAGATTCGGACAGACCAGGGAAAATGCACCTGCTTGTGTCCTGTTGGGGAAAGCCATCTGAGGGCTCGATTGGATCTGGGATTGGAGCTCAGGCTTCAGGTGCTGGCCCTGCCCTGTACCTGCCAAACAGCTCCTGGCCTAGGACCGGCTTGTGCCTCAGTTTCCTGAGCTGGGGGTGGGGGTGGCTGGAGTGGCCCCCTCGTGTTTGGTATAAGGATCTTGCCGCTGCTATTGGAGAAAACTCAGAGGTGGGGCTTTGTGGCGAGCACCCCCTTCAGGGAGTGAACGCTTTGTCCTCTGTGGGGCTCAGTGGGCTGGGGGCCTGGGCCCCTGAGGGGCTGCCCTTACCATCCCCCCCATGTTCCCACCCACCCCCCACTCGCACCCGCCCTGGCAGCAACAAGAGGACAAGGTTCCTTTTCCTGTACTTTCTTCTTTGAGGCTTCACGCTGACCCAAACATTGGATTACTTTTGTTTTTTCAATGACACAGCCGTTTACAAATGTGTTCTTACCGTAAGCCAAGAATGAGAAGATCCAGGAGTATCTGGGGGCCTGCCCCCCAGAGGTAAGCACAGTGCCCTGAGGCACTGATGTGGCCATTCAGGTCCCTCCCGGGCCCTCCCGGTGCCCTGTTGGCTCTTTCCTTGTGACCCTGCCTGCCTGGCCTTTGTCCTCGGCCATGTTCACTTGCTCTGGCTCCTGACCAGGAGGTGGGAGGACACGTGTGGGAGGGCCACAGTGCCACATCGGTTGGGGTGAAGCTTCTGTGTTCTCTGTTTTCTGCTAGTTTGGCTGCCACAGTGGAGGGGTCCTGGCTAGTGGGGAGGGGTCTGAGGGCTGCCACAGAGAGGGGCAAGGGACAGGGGTAGGCCGGCAGGTGCGGGTGAGCGGCCCACCCACCCCACACTCCCCCAGCTTTTGTCTGTGTCACACTTGGGCTGGTAAGAGGTTCCATATGCTTGAGAAGAGAGTCTGCTGCCCCCAGAAGGACAGTGGGCGCATGAGCCAAGGGCATAGCCCCTGGAGCCTTTGTCTTGGACCCCTGGGAGACTCCTCTGGGGGGAGAAAAACGCTGCTCTGTCCCCTTCCTGAGACCTGGCCGGAGTGGCTGGGAGCCCTGCTTCTCTTCCGAGTTTGCTGGAGTTGAGTGGTGTGAGCACAAAAGTCACCGGAACAAAGAGAAGCAGGAAGGCTCCGGAAGCCTGTGCCCAGGGACCTTTACCTTAGCCTGGAAATTCTGTTTGCATTCCCTGATTCCCTCCCTACTTCCTGACAGGAGAGAAAGGGGGCAGATCTGAGGTCCCAGAGAAAATCTCAGGTTTGCATGGCAGCAGAGTCCTAGCCTGTGTCTTTACCACGGGCCGAGGCCTGGGTTCTCACAGGGAAGGAAGGGCCTCTGGCCTCTGGTTGGCGGAGGGGCCCTCTCTCTTTGTGCGTACAAGAACAACCCTCTCCCCCGCCCCGCCCAGTCTCTCAGGCTCTCCAGAGTGTCTTTTGTCTAAGAGACTGAGAGAGGCCCCAGGAATGGCAGGTGTGGGGTGGGTGGAGGAAGCTTTTTCAGGGTGGTGTGTTGGATTCCTGAATAGGGAGAAGCCAGAGTTGATCAGAATTGAAAATGTGAGTCCCATTTGACCCAGCTGTTCCTTTTTTGGGAATGTGCTTGTGTATGTGGCTCAGATGGATGTAGAAGCAGGTCCTGGAAGCGTTGTGTGCAGTAGCAAGATGTTGGAGACCGTCTGGTGTTCACCCCGCAGTGAAGGCCGTGCGGTGTTTGCAGAGCACTCAGCTCTGTGTGTCGGCTAGGGGACAGCTTCGGGACCTGGCAGTAGCGAGAGCAGGTGTGGGTGGACTGCCGCTGGAATATGGAAGAGCAGACGCCCGTGCATTCGGGCGTGGGGGTTGTGGGGGACGCCGCCCACTGAGTACATGTTTGTTCAGCACAGTAAACATACCATAAAAGCCAAATGGAAAGGTGTAGCTAGATCTGGAAAGGCAGTTACTGGGCAGGTGTGGGCTCTGGAGGACTTGTGACCAGGCAGGCCCCAGGCAGAGCTGGTGGTGAGCAGAATGAGGCCGCCGAAGTTGGTGGCAGGCTGAGCGCCCTGCCCCGCCACAGGAGGGCTTGCATTTGCAGGAAGAGAAAGGAAGTGTGGGTCTTGCATGTCCAATTACCGCTCGGTCCCAAAAGCCCAGTGGCTGCCAGCCCCTGTGTCACAGACCCCTGTGCTCGGGGGCTCGCCCTGACGACCAGGCGCAGCAGACCGTTTGCTCTCAGCAGAGTCTCAGCGGCCTTTCTCTCGGCTGCCCCTTCAGGTACAGCCCCAAGAGCCCCGCCCTGCAGTCTGAGACCGTCCACTACAAGAGAGGGGTGAGCCAGCAGTTCTCCCTGCCCTCCTTCAAGATCGACTTCTCCGAGTGGAAGGATGATGAGGTAACCTTCTGGCCAGGCCCCCCTTTCCCGGGCCCCTTTCCCAAATTCCCTCCCCCTTGTGGCGGGGGACGAGCACCTCGGGGCCTGTCTGTTCAGATTCCTTGCGTGGTTGATAAGCATCAGGAGTGGCTGCTGACTCAGGTCTGTGTGCTCAGTCGGGCGTGTGCTGGACCAGAGAGCGGGGTTTGATTTGAGTGTTGGCGGCAGTTACAAGCTCCGGTACCCAGCTTTGGTGCCTTGTCGGGGCCACGGGACTGCAGCATGGCAGGACCCCTTCCACCGTGTGGTTCCATAGCTGGGGACGGTAATTTACATCATGTAAAGGATGGTGATGGAAAGTTTGTCTGTAATAGCAAAAAATGCAAACAACCTGTATGTCTGATTGCTTGTTCACTGAGGTTATGGGAACCATCTGTCTGCATAATACAGGCACCGTGGTTCACTTCTATAACGGATGCAGCCTTAGCGCAGGGGAAAAGGATCTACGTGTACCATACAGACTGATAATCCCCTTACGGGCTTGGAGGGCCATTGCTGACAGATACAGTATAATTTCATGTATACGACAACAGGAAAAATGCACAAAACCATTTCTGCAGGTACATGTACGTGTATATAAATCTTGAGGAGAAACTAGGGAAGATGCCCGTGAAGCTGCACAGGGTCTTGGGAGAAGACAAAGAATTCTAGAACACACACACGCACACACATACACACTGTACGTGAACGGCGTGCGTGCCAATACTGTAAACGTGTCTGAATTGTTACAACGGGTCTGTTAAGGTATAATTTACGTACCATAAAACTTACCCTCTTACGTATATAATTCAGTGATTTTTAGTAAATTTATGAATTATGTGATGATCACCACAATCCAGTTCTCGAACATTTCCATCCTCCACTAGGGTCCCTCAATGCCCACTTATAGTTAATCCCTGTTCCTAGCCGCAGCCCCTACATTAATCTACTTTCTGGACGGATTTGGCTTTTCTGGATGTTTTATATAAATGGAGTCATATGGTATGTGGCCTTTTGTATCAGGCTGCTCTCATTTAGCTGAATTCTGTGGTTTCTTGAAGAAGACATTCATATATTACTAAAATAAATTAGGGGGAAGGAACGGAGGCAGTGGGGTATGGGTGGTATAAGAATTGGGCAGGAAGGTTCTGGCTTGTGGACTATGTCAGAAGGTGAAGGCATGCCACGGTGTTTGCTCTTGGCTGTGTGTGTGCTTGCTTGTCAGGGTGCTTTGATGACAGGCAACAGAAGCTGCCATTGTGTCACTTGGGTGAGAAAGTCCTCTGAAAGAAGAATGGGGCCACTGGAGCCCTGCCCCCAGTCCCATTCCGTCAGATGGTTCCATCCCTGCATGTCAACAGTCCTGGTTGGGATACCCAGCAGGTGCATGTGGTCCTGCTTACCCTCCTGTGAATGGGGGAAGCTGCTCCCCAAAGAAAGGAGGGGGCTGGGTGGGCAAAAGGGGGTTGGGCAGACAAGTGGGTGCCCCCACCCTGTGGTTGCTTGTGGGGAGGGTTTGGCATCTCACTTTGGTGACCTCTGTTCATAGAGCAGTCCCTTGGCTGGCGTTTTGGCCACAGAACAGATCCTTGCGCATTTGCAGATGTGCTGAGTCAGGCCGACAGTTTGGGTTCCAGACTCCTAGTGAGGTCAGTTGTCCTGGGGGCACACTTGGCTCATAAACCGGTCTGAAGCGCCACATAGGGGCACCCCCTTTCCTCCATTAGAGCATCAGGGGCCCACATTCCAACTTGTCAGCGTGTGGCATGGTGGACATGGTGGGGGTGGTGGCAGGCGCAGTGGGTGTGGTGGGCAGCCACATGGGCCTGTCTCAGGTGGACTTATCCCAGGATCCCTTCCTCGTCTTTGCCTTCTCTGATTATCTCCTCAGCTAATGTGTTCTCAAAATCAGCTCACTTCTTTTATGTATTTTTTTAAAAGATTGATTGATTGACTGATTTGACAGAAGGAGAGCAAGCACAAGCAGGGGGAGCGGCAGGCAGACCAGGCAGAGGGAGAAGCAGACTCCTTGCTGAGCAGGGGGCTCAATGTGGGACTTGATCCCAGGACCCTGGGATCATGACCTGAGCCGAAGGCAGACGCTTAACTGACTGAGCCACCCAGGCATCCCCTGTTAGATGTATTTTTAAGTGGAAACTTTATCAGTTATTACCGTGGTTGGGAAACTAAGCCTTGCCATAGATAGAAGGTCCTGGAAGTTATTACGTCCTCTCCCTGTGTTGCTGCCTGCCGGAGGTGCTGAAGCAGATGTTGGCAGGTGTTCGAGGCCTGACAGGTACTCAGGCCCCAAACTCAGACTTGTCCTCAATCAGGGCTTCTCAGCCTCAGTGCTGTTGACCCTTGGGACCCGGGTCATTCTCCGAAGTGAGGGCCATCCTGTGCACTGTGGGATTTCAAGCAGCATCCCTGGCCTCTGGCCGCCACGTGTCAGTCAGGAGCACCCCCACTGCAGCTGTGACAACCAGGGATGTCTTGTGACACAGGCAGGTGTCCCCTTGGCCGCCAGCATCATGCCAGCCTCCCTTCTTTAGCCATTTTCCCCGGACTTGCCTATTTAAAGATTACAACGGTAATGTATGCTTGTTGTAAAATGTGCAAGTTATACAGAATTTGTAAGACAAAATGCTCCCCAGGTGAAGCTCCTTCTCCAGAGGCAACTGCTTCTGACCATTCAGTGTGTATATTCCAGATTTTTTTCCCATGTGCATTTGTTTGTTGTAAAGATGCGGTCATGCCATATACATATTATTCTGTAGTTTGTTTTTAAAAGCATTTTATTGGGGCGCCTGGGTGGCTCAGTCGTTAGGCGTCTGCCTTCGGCTCAGGTCATGATCCCAGGGTCCTGGGATCGAGCCCCGCATCGGGCTCCCTGC